CCTCAATGACTGTGAGAATGATTTAGCCTAACCCAATTTCAGGATAATTAAAAGAATAAATTGATCACTGGGACTTCTTTGTACTAGAATCTGATTCTCAACACTAATCAACGTGGGGCCCTTCCTACAATTTTATAATGGGCACAAACATTCCTCCGTGGTATCTAGCATTTGCTACTTCTGAGATGCAAAGCACAGGTAATTTCTAAATTCATACTCAGTGTATCAGACGCCGCCCTGCTAAACCCATACAATTGACAAGCTTTAGAAATTTACAAGATTAGGGGCGCCTGGGTGGCTCAGTCGGTTGGGCGTCCGACTTCGGCTCAGGTCATGATCTCATGGTTCGTGGGTTCGAGCCCGGCGTCGGGCTCTGTGCTGACAGCTAGCTCAGAGCCTGGAGCCTGCTTCGGATTCTGTATCTCCCCCTCTCTCTGACCCTTCCCTGCTCATGCTCTCTCTCTCTCTCTCTGAAATAAATAAAACATTAAAGAAAAAAAGAAATTTACAAGATTAGAGAAACTGACAGCAGGACAACTATTCTCACTTTCTCCAGATAAAAAATAGAAAGAAACAATCTGAGAATGGAAAAGAGAACATAACCTTGAAAATGATTTTGAAAAAAGCCTCGGGTCCCCTCCCCTGTCAGATACCACATTTGATCTCAGCCAAAAGGCTGAGAAGCGATCTTCTACCCTCTCAGATGTAATGATTTCCAGCTTTGCCCACGTCATACTGTTTGTACCAGGGAAGGAAACTAGCAATTATTGAGTGTCCACCATAACAGACGTCGGCCAAGTGCGGCCCATGAGACAGATCCAGCCTGTGGTCTGTTTGTGTACAACCTGTGGGCTGAGGATGGTTTTTAGGTTCTTAACAGGTTGAAAAACAATCCGACAAAGAGCATTTTGTGACGTCTGAAAAACATGAAATTCACAGCTCAGTGTCCGTAAATACAATTTTATTGGAACACAGACACATATACGGCTGCTTTCATGCAAAATGGTGGAGCTGACCAAGAGATCTGGTGGTCCGAAAGCGTAAAAATTTGACACCTGGCTCTTGTTGGAAAAAGTCGGTCTCCCCATGTGTTTATCATAAGCTAAGCACTTCAGAAATGGTAGCAAATACTATCCTTAACATACACATGAGAAAACAAAGAGTTTAAGCTGTTGTCACAAAGGACAAAGTGAGTAAATGGTGGTAAGCTCCTTCCAAGAGGGCGGTTTCGCGGAGATAACGGAAGCCAAGAGAAGACAGAAGCAGAGGTCGGAGGGACGTGACCTCGAGCCAAGGAGCGAAGCCACCCCCAGAAGCTGGAAGAGGCAGGAAGGCTCGATCGTTCCCTCAAGCCTGCAGACGGTGCGGCTCTGTCACACCTCAGTTCTCGGCCTCTGGCCACCAGGATGGCAGGAGAAAATATTTGTATTGTCTTAAGCCCCCCAATTTAGAGTAATTTATTACAGCAGCGAAAGAAACCAAACGCCCACGACCGTCCACGATTCCTTCTTCTCTAGTAGGTTTCCTCTAACATTAAGCCACACAGTTTCTGAACTCAGGCCTCCCTCCACTGCTCTCCGTGAGGTCTCTGAATCATTATCCACATCCCTGCGTCTGCATTGTTGACAATGAACGTCTTATCTCTTCCATCAGCAGTTAAGCTCCGCCAAGTGTGGAACTGTCTGATGGGGTTCCAAACTAAAAACAGCTTTTATAAAAACCTAAAGAAAAGGGGGAAGGCGGGGGGCATCTGGCTGATTGAGTCAGAAGAGCACGCCACTCTAGACCTCAGGGTCATGAGTTCGAGCCCCACGCTGTGTGCAGAGATTACTTAAAAAAATAAATTAAAGGGGCGCCTGGGTGGCTCAGTCGGTTTAGCGTCTGACTTTGGCTCAGGTCACGATCTCGCAGTTTGTGAGTTCGAGTCCCACGTCGGGCTCTATGCTGACAGCTCGGAGCCTGGAGCCCGCTTCGGATTCTGTGCCTCCCTCTCTCTGCCTCTCCCCTGCTTATGCTCTGCCTTTCTCTCAAAAATAAACAAACTTTAAAAAAATAAAATAAAATAAACAGAACACTAAAAACAGCTACCAGGTGGTTTCCAAGAAACTAGCTTACAGCAAAGTGATTCAGAGGGAGTGAAAGGAAACAGGTGCCCTAAACGGCCCCAAACAGATACCCACCCAAACGTCTGACACCAGGAGGCAAGGTGAAGAGCTAGACAGGTGTCACAGAGCAGGCAGACCCGCTAGTGTCTGAGGGACCCCGTGGGGTTCTCCTCGTCAGCAAGGTGGCTGGCAGAGCGAGAGGCCAGGAGTGTGGTCGCATCCCTGGAAAGCAGGAGATGGGCTCACACAAAGGGCCAGGGCCAAGCTGTGCCAGTTTCTCTAACAAAGACTTCATTATGAATGGACACGAGCAACAAAGTTTGAAAATACAACCTTGGAAACAGAAGTAACCGCAAACTGGATACTCACAAGCAAAACATGTAGCAGTTTCGATCGGTCGGTATCAGTTAAGGAAAAGTTAGGGCTACCCTGTACCACTACTGTGTGGGACAGGGGCGGCTGTAACAATAAAAGGAATTATTTACCCAAGAAGATACAATGCACTGCTTATCTCAGCACCAAAGGCAAGAGTTACACCGCAGAGAAACAGCAGAATATTATTGGCTCCTCTGTGATATGGACAACAACGAAGGTGCTAAACAATGGAAACTCAAATGGGAAGAATGCCTAAGACAGGACATCATACTTAGGGGACAAGAGCGAATGGAAGCTTAGTAGCTAAAAATGCAGAGAACACTTCCCAATCAGGTTGAATAAAAGATGCTGCATAAAGAACAAGGAAGAGGTCAGAGGCTTCACAGCAGCATATGTGGCTTAAAGTTCTGGCTGCCCTCGGCGAAAGCTCAATCACAAAGTGACATACACACGGTCACAGAGTCACACGCACACTCTCTCATGACCAATCAATGCTCTAAAATCCAAGGGTTGGCTAACTGGCCCGTGGGCCAAATCCAGCCAGCCCCTTGTTTCTGTACTGCTTGTGAGTGAATAATGGTTTTTACGTGACTAAATAGCTGGATTTAAAAAAAAAAAAAATCAAAAGAAGGACATTTTATGGCAAGTGACAATGACATGAAATTCACATTTCAGTATCGATACTCAAAGGTTTCACTGGAATCCAGCCACACCCGCCATTTACATACCGCCTGTGTCTGTGAGATACAACCAGAGCTCAGCTGCTGCCGCGGAGACCAGACACCCCATTACAGAAGTCTGCTGACCCCTTCTAACCGATACAGGGCAAATCATATCTCAGTTGCAGAATCGAGTTCTGGAGATCAAATTTCTAGTGAAAAATTAAGTGAGAGCTGTGTTCAGCATGGGGCCTGGGAATCGCACTTGAAGAGGCATTAAAACTTAGGGGGACCTCGGAACGGGAATTTGAACTCATAAAGGGATTTTGGGGGCGCCTGGGTGGCTCAGTCGGGCCAGCCTCGGACTCTTCTTGATTTCAGCTCAGGTCATGATCTCATGGTTCGTGGGATCGAGCCCCACGTCATGTTCCACGCTGAGCCTGCTTGGGATTCCCTCCCTCTCTCGCTCTTGCTCTCAAAATCAATAAATACACTTAAAAGCAACTTTATAAAAGGATTTTTTTCATATAGGAGGGAATCTTGTATGCTGTTTGACAACCTGTGTTGTTTCAGAAAATAAATGAGGGAGATGAATGGAGGAGGTGTATCGGGGGAAACTTTCCTCATGATCAGTCACATCACAGAACAGCCACGTGTCTTGCAAAATGGAAGGACTCACGTGGAACCCGAATGAACAGCTACCTACTCGTAAGAGACATAAAGCAGATAAAAGCCTAGGGGTTGATCCCTATCGTGGTTTGAGTGATATCCCCCCTAAAACCCGTCCACCCAGAGCCTCAGAATGTGACCTCGTTTAAAAACAGGGCATTTGCAGGGACACCCGGCTTGGCTCGGTCAGAAGAGACTGAGACTCTTGATCTCAGGGTCGTGAGTTCGAGCCCCACCTTGGATGCAGAGATTACTTAAACAGAATTTGAAATAACAATAAAGAAATAATAAAAGATAGAAGGCAAAGATCAAAATGCAATCGCTCTGGATGAGGATGGGTTCTAATCCAACAACGGTCCTTTTGTAAAAGAGGAAAGTACACACGGACACAGGGAAGAAGGCCATGTGAAGAAAGAGGCAGAGAGGAGAGTGACGCTTCCAGAAGCCGAGGAATGCCAGGAGCCACCGGAAACCCAAAGAGGCAAAGAAGGCTTCTTCCCCCGCGGAGTCTCCCAAACTGTGACAGAACACGTTTCTGTTGTTTTAGGCCACCCAGTCTGTGGTAATGTGTTACAGCTGCTGTGGTAAACTAATACAATCCCCTCTACATTTCCCTGGAAATTCCAACTTCTCTCCCTTCTCCCAAAGGCAGGGACTAGACCTTTAATTTCTTCCAGAAACCCACACAGCCTCCTCTAGCCCCCGTGCTGCTAAAGGAAAAAGTCAACGATGTTACCTTTATCACTTTGTAACCTTTCAAGAAGAACAAAGGTAACATCGTTGACTTTTTCCTTGCAAGACTATAGGGTAGAATCACAACCAAGAGACTGGCGTTGATACGCTCCAGGGATGTGATCCCCACTCCCCGATTTTCTGTACTCGGCGAGTGGGGGTGGGGTTATTAAGTTCTAGCCACCACCATAAAGATACACGGCAATTTCATCACCGGGGCTGTTTGGGATCGTAATACATGCAAAAACATGCCTTATCTGTATGTAGATCTATAAATATTAACAGAATGGCCGGTTCAGAGACAAACCTTTGAAAAGCCAGGATGAGAAACCCTATTTCCACGATCCTTAAAACAGAAAGCAGTGTTTTCCAGAGAGTCGGAGTTAATATGGGAGGGTAGGGGGGGAATGTGGAGGCTTAACCCAGAGCGGGTTCTTCCAACAGGACGCCAATCTCATACCTTGTCCTTTTTATCCTGTCGAGCGTACGGAAAACACGGGATCACGGCAGTCACCCTGGAAGACGACGCGATCTTGCAGGCGTTGATCATGATAAGGAGCTCCATCAGGTTGTCGTTGATTTCTCCGCAGCCACTCTGGATGATATAGACATCTTCGCCCCTCACGCTCTCGCCGATCTCGACGCTGGGAAAAGAAAAATGCCATCCGTTATGAGTCGAGTCTACTTGCAGCCTTAGAGGTCCCCCAGAGCACCATTAGGTAGGGGGACTGGCCAGGGCGCACCATACGGTGTGCTCATGGCCAGGACTTATTACAGGGAAAGCATGCAGAACACACCGAGCAAAGGGAAAAGGCGCAAGCAGCAAAATCGGTGGGAAAGCAGGCGCGAGCTTCGAGGAGTCGCCCTGTGGTGGAGTCACACAGGTTGAGCTCGGCTCCCCCCAGGAACATGCTCATTGGCATCTAGGGTATGATCGGGGGTGGGGGGGCGGCTGGTCACACAGGCCCCCACCTGCCTGGCACATACCAAAATTCCAGACCGCCAGGTATTCCACATTAACCACACCGTTTATACAGTTTAGTAGAGCGAGCCGTTCTTATCTGGGAATGGGGGGAGCCCTTTCAAAAATGGGAGTTTCCAAAGGCTAGCTGAGGACCACCTTGTGAGCAGAACTTTCCATTTAAGAGAGGGTCCAACATGCCCGTTAGAAATAGGTCTCAGTCCTGTTATATTGACTTCTTTCAGCTAAATAGCATATTGAGTCTTAACTTTTATTAAAGTTCCGTATACATGCTGCTTAAAAAACTCAAGTCATTCTGAGGGCACCTGGGGGGCTCAGTCGGTTAAGCATCTGACTCTTGATTTCGGCTTAGGTCATGATCTCACGGTTCATGACATCGAGCCCCACGGTGGGCTCCACGCGACCAGTGCTGAGCCTGCCTGGGATTCTCTCTCTCTCTTAAAAATGAACAAAACCTCAAGTCATTCTGTAAGGCTTGTAACAAACATTCCAGAAGTCTATCCCCACCCGCCCACCCCCTCATTGCCACCTGCAGCCTTCTGATCCCACCATCCCAACGGAGGTCAATACTCCAACCAAGTACGACAGCTACTGTTAACTGTGTGGATGCTATTCAGAGCAGAGCTGTAAAGTAAACTTAAATCCAAGTTTCTATTTCCCTTTAGCCCGTAGCACTTGGTGCTTGGTTCTCCCCGGACTGTGTTATCCTACCTTTTCACCTGCTAAGTTTTCTAAGTAGTGAATCTAAATTCCGACCTAAACGCTCGGCTGACAGTCTACATTCCCACCATGTCAGAGGCCCCAGGTGTGACGTCCATCCCACTAGGCTACCCGGGTCTCTCCCGTCGCTGGCTGAGCCAGGTTCTCTTTCTGCCCCTGCACAGATACCCTCCCAGCCCCCACCCTGGGGAATCCCACCGCTCCTCTCCCACATGCAATTGCCCACTTTCTGTATCCTCTTTCTTGCTGTACTTCTTTGTTTTGCTGGTTGGCATCTTCCGGTAGCTTCTGGAGAAAAGAGTGAAGGGGGCTTCAAAAGTCTTTGGAAGCTGCACGTTGGAAAATTTGTTTTGTGGCAGAGAATGCTGAGCATTCAACATGACCGCAGGCCAGCCCATCCCTGGTGTGTGCTGGGGCAGCTCCTCCACAGAACACTGCCAGGGACCCAGGAGACCTTCAGCTCAGCGACAATGTTGGTTTTGAAAAGGCTAATCTTCTTGCAATTGATACATCAGGAACGATTCGAGCAGAACATGAATTCTGCATCTGCTGACACACTGTCTTCTATCCCGAGATAAGACTGTGAAAACTGCACTGCGCCCAGCTGAATGGAAGAGCCGCTCAGAAATACGCCCCCGTGTCGCGCACGCCCCCCCTCACCAGGGCAACGGCCACACCCATCTTCTTCTGGTATCGCCGTTCTCCACACCACTTCAGACTCCCTCCATCACCTCACGAGAACCCCCAAGCGACAGCCCCTCCAAGACTCATTTCCACAAGGAGGCTGTCGGTCCTCTTCCACGGAAGGCGCTGTTCTTACTACAGTGTTTGCTTTCTAAACCTGTAATGTGTACAAAGTGCTTTATCATTTCTATTACGTTCACATCTTTTTAAAAAGTTGCAGAAGAAGGTTTGAGTACTGCACCCCCAACCCCATTTCCCCTGGAAACCCTGTGGTCTTTACTGTAGGATTCTGCAGAGCACGATGATTTTGAGGAAAGCATCTGTCACATTACAGTAAGACCAACTATAGATGGGCTCACTCTAAAAAGAAATATCGTGAATCTTATTTTAAAATGACAAGGGAGGCCCATAAATAATTACCCTGATCTCTTCTCCTACTATAAGAGGCCAATGACACCCAATCATATTGTTTTAGCTAAAGAGCCAATTATTTCTTTAAAAAAAATTTTTTTACAGGAGTCTGCATTTGGAATCCATGCAATAGTCTACTGAGTCAACAGAAGCTTCTACCCCATTTCAACTAGAATAATCGGAACACAGAGGCCCCTGGGTGGCTCAGTCATTTAAGCGTCCGACTTCAGCTCAGGCCATGATCTCACGGTCCGTGAGTTCAGGCCCCGCGCTAGGCTCTCGGAACACAAAAATGAAGTTTTTCAAGTTGAACTGCTCTGACAACGAGTTTTGGTAACAGTGGGTCATTTTCCAGTTTCTCCACTATGAATGGAAACAGTCTGATGCCACCACCGCCAGGGTGAGAGAGACACAATTCTGTGTGCTCCCTCTGATTTCGAGTTCTAGGGGGTGAGATGTAATTCCTTTGTGAGCGTCCTCTCAACTGTGGAATAAAGTCAACTTGGAAATCACAGGAGGCAGCCATGGGCAGCCGACAAGCTGAGAATGGCGTGGTAGGCAGAGCGGCCCTACACGGAGGTCTACGTCCTAAGCCGCAGAACCCCTGAAAACATTAGTTAAGTGCCAAAGGGGAAACAAGGTGGGAGACAGAAGGTTACTAATCAGCAGACCTTAAAATAGGGGGGATTTTCCTGGAGTATTTGGGTTGGCCCAATGCAATCACAGGGGTCCTTGAAGACGGAAGAGGGAGACAGGAAAGGGCAGAGAAAGACGTATGAGGACTGAAGCAGCATCAGAGAGATGCTACACGGTTGGCTTGGAAGATGGAGGAAGGGATCAAGGGCCACAGGCAGCTTCTAGAAGCTGAGAAAGGCAACGGAATGGCTTCTCCTCCCCTTTCTTCCAGAAAGAACTGCAGTGACCCATGACGGACCTCTACCCCCACAGAACTGCAAGATGCGACAGAAACACAGAAGGCAATGGGGCTGCAAAGCCTAAACCACTTACTGTCTGGCCCGTCACAGAAAAAAACTGGCTAACCTCTGGTGTTATGACTGTCTATCCTCAAAAACTTGCTTCTTTGGCCCATTTTTCTCCAGGAACCTCAGTCTCCACATGACCAGCGGTCCAGCAGAGGAAGAAAAATCCTATCACCATGGCGACTTTTTTCCTGCTTCTACTCATAAAGATGATCGCGACTGGTCTTTAGTGTAAGGTCTTCATTTTAAAACCGTGTGGCCAGAAGGCAGCATCCTCATTTGCCATTCAGTGGAGAATCTTCACAGATCCCCAAAGAAGGCGGCAGATGAGTTTATCCGACTCAACAATGAGTGAGTGTGCTCATTAACTAAAAGGTGGCTGCAGATGCTTTGAAACTCTTCCCATCAGGAAGAGGAGTCTATGTTCCCCTTCCCTTGGGATTCGGGAGGACTCTGCTTGGCAACTGATTGTGACAGAAGCGACAATACACCGTTGTCAGGGCCCAGACTTAAGAGAGGGGCGGCTCCCACTTCCTATCTTCCATGCTATGGGGAAGCTCAAGCAACCCCGCGGAGAGGGACTGAGCTTTCTTACCAAGCTCCCAGGCAAAAGCTAGCACCGGCTCAGCAGCCGTGTGAGCAAGATGTCTCCAAAGTGGACCCGCCAGCCCCAGTTAACTGCCCAGGATGCCATCACGCGGGGTGCTGCCCAAACTGCGGGTTTGGGAGTCAAATGAACAACTGCTATTTTAAGCTGTCGAATTCCAGGGTGACTTGTTACAGAGCAATGGACAACCAGAACTTCAGGTCTTTGGTACAGCTAATGACTCTGCGGGCAGGTAACTGACCAGGGATAAAATGTTACAACAGACCTGCAGACACCCTCACTGCGGATTTCAGTGGCCTGTGGCGAAGCTGGGGCAGGCACCTCTCTACATATCTCAAATGATTCAGAGATGAGAAGGGAAAATCAGAGGGCCCTGTGTGTCCAATTAGGCGGTGTTTTAAAAGTGGGGGATGTCATCAGGGAAATACAAATCAAAACCACACTGAGATACCACCTCACACCAGTCAGAGTGGCTAAAATGAGCAAATCAGAGAACTCTAGATGCTGGCGAGGATGTGGAGACACGGGCACCCTCCTACACTGTTGGTGGGAATGCAAACTGGTACAGCCCCTCTGGAAAACAGTGTGGAGGTTCCTCAGGAAACTAACACTAGAACTCCCCTATGACCCAGCAAAAGCACTGCTAGGAATTTACCCAAGGGATACAGAAATGCTGAGGCATAGGAGCACATGTACCCCAATGTTCATAGCAGCACTCTCCACAATAGCTAAAACATGGAAAGAGCCTAAGTGTCCATCAACGGACGAATGGATCAAGAAGATGTGGTTCATCTATACCATGGAATACCACATGGCAATGAGAAACAATGAAATCTGGCCACGTGTAGCAACATGGATGGACCTTGAGGGTGTTATGCTGAGTGAAATAAGTCAGGCAGAGAAGAACAAATATCATATGTTTGCACGTATAGGAGGATTAGGAGGAACTTGACGGAGGAACAAGGGGGAGAAGAAGGGCGGAAATGGTGGGGGAAAAGGAGAGAGGCAAACCATGAGAGACTCTTGAATGCTGACAAAAACTGAGGACTGATGGATGTGGGGGGGAGGGGGGAAGGGCATGGAGGAGGGCACTTTGGGGATGAGCACTGAGTGTTATGTGGAAACTAATTTGACAATAAACTATTTGAAAAAAAAAAGTGGGGGATGGGGGTGGGCGTGCCTGGCCAGTAGAGTGTGCAACTCTTGATCCTGGGGTTGTGAGTTCAAGCCCCATGTAGAGACTACTTAAAACTAAAATCTTAAAAAAAAAAAAAAAAAAAAAAAGTGGAGAATGGAAGGAGTGACCACCAGGACATTACGACAGATTTCTGATCCCAGCTGAGGGGAGACGTTCAGGAAGGAGCCTCTTACATGAACGGAATCATTTTTCTCTTCCTTTGACCCTGTTTCTCATCCTTGGGACCAAACAATAAAAATCAGATCACTAGTACAATACCTAGTACAGACGGGACTGTTTGTAAAAATCAGCCCCTGGTCCTAGACAGTTTACGGAAAGGAGAAAAGTCAGGAAGCTAACGTTTTACATTCTAAATACTAAAAACATATAATATTGGGGCGCCTGGCTGGCTCAGTCGGTAGAACAGGAGACTCTTGATCTCCGGGTCGTGAGTCTGAGACCCACGTTGGGAGTAGAGATCACTTAAAAAACAAACCAAACCAAACAAAAAACATATAATCTCCCTATATAAGCAGTTCCCAGAGTTCACCTTGAGTGGCTTTCCAGACCTCGGGATTTCGACTTATCAGGTGGTCGAAAACATTTTCAGTCTACAATCTCTTTCATTTTTGACATGGTGGGAAGTATAAATGGAGGGTTGTTGTTTTGTTTTTGTTTTGGGGGGCAGCCCGCATCAATTGTTCCAGCACCGCCTGTTCAAAGTGTTGGCTGAACTGGATCTCTGCCAAAGATCTACAAATGATTAGTAACTGTGCGCAGGGCTAAGCATTTAAGGGGGAGAAGAAAAACAGGAGACCAATTTGCAATTGCCTAAAGAGCTGTGTGGACTCAGGCAGGCGGAAAACGGAGCCCCTGTCGCGCTCCGGAGGGTGGCCACCAGCCTGACGTCAGAGGTGACCACATCCCCCGGACCTGAGGCACAGGTGGCACTTACGCTCGAACCACGCGTGGCCTTGCTGCTGGACACAGCAGTCCCGGGACTACGAAGAAGATGAACGACTTTGAGGCAGAAAAATCAAGGGGAAGCTCAGGGGCACCGGCACGTGCGCTCTGGGGCTCTCACGCTCTTTAAGCCCCCGGCACAAACAACCCCTCTGGTTTAACCCAGACGTCTGCGCTCTGGCCGCTCCGGAGGGTCACCCGGGAGCTTTAACAACACTGACCCCCCCCTCCCCCCACCGCCGCCGGGATCGGAACTCTCTGGCGGCGGGGGGGGCGGCTCTCTGAACCGCCCCAGGCTAATGCAGGGCACCCGCGGGCGAGTTGCGTAGGCGGAGCTGTCGCTCCCGCACGCCCCGTGTCGGGGACGGGCCTGGCGGGGATCGGGGAGGACCGGTCGAGCACCCCCAGAGGCGTCCCTCGCCGCGTGCCCTGCACCGAGGCGGTTCTCGCCGGCTGCGCCCACCGCTCCCCGACGCTGTGGCCGCGCCGAGGTCGCCCTTCCGGGCCAGGGGCCGCCCTCCTCCGCGTCTCCTGGGAGCTGCAGCGGTGGCGCGGAGGCCGCGTCGTGGCCGTCCCGCCCCGGAAGGGGGAGCGGGCGGCCGCGGAGTGGTCCCGGGTAGGGTGGCGGGGGCGGCGACGGTCCCGGCCCGGCCCCGCAGCCGCGCGCCCGGCGCCCTCCCCGGCCCGGCCCGGCCCGACCGCCGGCGCGGCCCCCACCTGGTCTCCTGGTTGCTGAACTTCTTAGTGACCACCTTGCCCAGCTCCAGGCCCAGGCGGTCGGCCACGCGCTGGGACAGGTCCTGGTGCGAGCTGCCGCTGAAGAGCACGATGTTGGGCATGGCGGAGGCGGCGGTGGCACCGGAGGCTGCGACGCGAGCGGGAAAGCGCGGCTGTCGACCAAGGGAGGAGCGGAGTGGAAAGTAGCTGGGGGGGGCGGAGCTGGAGGGGGCGGAGTCGGGGCGGGGCTCGAGGGGGCGGGGCTGCTGGACCCGGAGGGGGTGGCGGAGCGGGAACGCGCCGCGGCGGGACCGGGCGGTGGCGGAGCTGGGGGAGCCGGAGGGAGCGGAGCTGAGGAGGAGGGGCTGTAGACGGAGAGCTCTTGGCCCCCTTCTAGACCTTCCCGTGCAGCCTCGAGAGAGGGGGCCAATGAGCCCGATTAACTGGGCGCCGAGGGAGGGTGCGGGAGGAGGCTAGGGACGTGCCTAGCAACCAGGAGCGAGCCCCCCAACACAGAATACCCCCCAACCTATTGCAGACGACTGGCGTTCAGCTCCAAGGGTCTGTAAAACTGTGACCCGCGGGCCAGATCCACAGCGCTGCCTGTTTCTACCGGGGAGCTAAGCATGGTTTCCACACGTGCACATTTGCAATCTGTGTGATCGTAGCTGTACCGCCTTCGCAACGCAATTAGGAAAAACAGCATCCCCTTGAAAAAGTACCCCTTTCCTCTCTTTAGTAGGTGTGTACTGCAAGAAGCTGTAGTCCATTATTATTATATTTTGGAGTTTGTCCATGAAAACATGGTGAAAATTTGTCGTCTCTCTTGTTATGTGAGCACCTACGTAATAGCCTCTTCCTTTTGCCTCGTGGCCGGCAAAGCCTACATTATGTACTATCTAGTCCTTAGTCAAAATTCGCTGGGGCCTGAACAACAGAATTGCCCGCTGTCCTTGCAAAAGCCGCCAATGCCAGTGGCCCTCTGAGTCCTGGCCACAGATGGAGGGGCAGGATGACCCTCAATGGTGATGGTGATGGTGAATGGGAGCACACCAAGGCCCCTCTGGATTCCTCGTCTTTAGGTAGTCCTAGGCCAGTTTTGCAGCTTCCTGCCAGTCGGGTCTCAAAGGCCTGAGCCCAGGAACCTCAGCCCCAACCTGCCCTCTCCACAGGTGGTCCCCAGCCAGGGCTCTCCATAACCCCAGATGGCCTGCAGCCTTCCCCTCTCCCCCTGCAGACAGGAGCAAGAAAGGTTTCCTCAAGCAAATGCAGTCCCAGAGCAAATCTCTGTGCACAAATCAAACGAAGAGGAAAGGAATGTATCACAGAGAAATGGAGGACCCACATGTTAGTAACGCTGGCCAATTTAATGCTTCTCAATGGCAACAGGTTAAACAGGTCGCGTAAATGGCTGGGTTTTACCTAACGCTGCCAAGAATTATTCCTCCGTCCACACAGCACACAGCCTGCTGTAAACTGACTTCATATTATTGGGATTTGGGGGATCCTTGGGATTATTCATGGAATTAGGATCTTTCATCTGGGTCCGTGTACTTTTCAAATTTGATTACCTCGCACACCAAGTGTTTCTTCAAACTCCTGAGTCTGCCTGTTTACCGAAAAGTTGTCCAAAGCATCCATTCTGGCAGCATTTGCGCCCCCTTTTCCATTCTTCCTGGAGATGTGTATGTGCTCTATTATTCAAAAAGAGAAGAAAAACCCAGCCCTACTTGCAGTGATTTATTATCTATGTGTTTTACAGTTAATTTCCATGGCAATGAGATTTATACTCATATTCAACCATATGTCTACAATTTTTATTGAATGAGTCTGCTAATGTAATTACTCTTAAACTCTCCCAATAAAATTTTCTACTAACAATATTACTGTAATCTTTAGGTCCTTAAATTTTTCTCTCAGAGACAAGATATATACATGTTCTTTTCAGCGGGAAAGTGGCTTCGTTTCAGCAGGGCAGGACCATGGTCCTTTGGTAACAAAACTGATGGACTCTAACACGGTAGAAGTAAGTTAAAGCCCCTGGTCTCTGAGTACGTTAATGGTCAGGGCTTTGGAAGCTAGGGTTGAATCCTCACAAACCATGACTTGAATAGTACCAGGGAGAAACAGTATCTAGGTTAGGGCAACTAATTAATAGTTGTTGGCTCAGCAATTTGAAGAGTTACTAGGCTTAGATGCCGAGGGTAAACGAGGAGAAATGTAACATCGGGATCATCTAAAATCATCATGAGTAGCAGCCTGCCCGGAAGGCTGTCACTGGTAAATGTCCAGGCTTCAAAGAGCAGCTACAGGTGATTTTATAAATGTGAACACTTTCTCTCGCGAGGCCTTTTACCCTTGACCCGAAGGAACCAGGCCGTTGTGAGGAAATCACGGTTTCTTGCTGGTTTCTCAACCTTGGCGCTACTGCCACGTGGGCTGGATAAGAATTTGTGACGGTGCTGTCTGTTCATTGTAGGATGTTTAACAACATCCCGGGCCTCTACCCACTAGATGGCAATAGCATCTTCACACCGGTCGTGACAATCAAGTGTCTCCAGTCACTGCCAGATGTCCCCTAAGGAGTGAAATCACGCCAGGTTGAGAACCACTTGTCTAAACAAACCCCCGTTCCTTTCTTCCTCGTGGGTCCTTCCTCAGGGCTCCTCTGGCTTCCTCACAGAATGGCTGCAGAGTTCCTGGAAGGAACGTTCCAAGAAAATAAGCCTCAATGAGCAAGTGCTTCCCAAGCCTCTGGTGTTATATTTGCTGACGTCCCATTGGCCAAGGAAGGTTACATGGTCAAACTAGCATTAATAGGGTACAGGCCCACATACGGGCATCATAGGGAACGGGCCAACATACGGGCATCAGTGTTAGGTCCACTAGTCTACCGATGCTCTCCCACGGTGCACTTCGTGGACAGAATGTGGAGCTGAGAGACCTCCAGGAAAATGGAGCACATATACAAAAACTCAGGATGAAGAAAACATGCACCATGTGAATATGTGGTCTCAGATTTTGGACAGTTGTCTGTGGCTCATTATTTTAACATCAAATGTTAGTGGAGAAAATAAGAACGATAAGGTATTTCCATTGATGGCTTCTATTTTCACCGACTGATCGGTAGGGCTGATATGAGAAAACACCGATTTGAGTTTGTGAACCATTTTCACATCGTGTATTCTCCACATCATTTCCCCGAGATCTTTGAATATAGTAAGAGCTCTAAATATTTGCAGAATGAATTGGTTCCCAACGACCCTAGGGCTGAAAGACGGAAGAAAGAGCCCAACGTTCTGTGGCTAATAAAGGCAGCAAGGGAATCAGAATCCAGGTCTCCTAAGTCAGTCCTTCTCTCTCTCAAACAGCGCTGTCCAACAGAAGTATAATGCAAGCCGCACATGTGACTTATGATTTTTAATCGCCATATTTAAAAAGAGTAAAAGAACAGTGAAATTACCTTAAGGACACACTTTATTTACCCCAATATATCCCCAATATTATCGCTCCTACATGTAATCAATATAAAAAAATTAATGGGATACTTTGCATTCTTTTTTTTTCTTCAGGCAGAGTCTTTGAAATCCAACGTATACTTTACACCTATAGCACATCTCCATTTGTACTTGCTATATTTCAAGGGCTCAACAGCCACATGTAGCTCGCAGTTGCTATATGAGAGCAAAAAGCTCACGAACACTGGCTGTTCTTTTTTAATTGTTAATGTTTATTTATTTTGAGGGAGAGAGAGAGACAGAGTGCAGGGGAGGGGCAGAGAGAGAGGGGGAGACACAGAAACCAAAGAAGGCTCCAGGCTCCGAGCTGTCAGCACAGAGGACGCGGGGCTTGAACTCACGAACCGTGATATCATGACCTGAGCTGAAGTCGGACACTTAAGCAACCGAGCCAGCCCGGCACCCCTGGAACACTGGTTCTTAAGAGCAATGCCAAGATGCCCTGACGCATCCATTCTATTGTGCTTTTCCTAGGAGTGTGGCAAATAACTTATAAGTAATTATAAACTGCTAGGGTTTATAAATAATTTACTTTAAAATGTAAGTTAAGGGGCCCCCGGGTGGCTCAACCAGTTAAGCATTGACTTCATCTCAGGTCATGATCTCATGGTCTGTGAGTTCGAGCCCCACGTCGGGCTCTGTGCTGACAGCTCGGAGCCTGGAACCTGCTTCAGATTCTATGTCTCCCTCTCTCTGCCCCTTCCTGGCATGTGCACTCTCTTTCTCTCTCTCTCTCTCTCTCTCTCAAAAATAAATAAAGATTAAAAAAAATTTTTTAAGTATTTAAAAACGGGCAGAGGAATCTGCAAGCCATGAAAAGATACACAGGAACCTCAAATGTATATTACTAAGTAAAAGGAGCGAGTCTGAAAAGCACACGATATTCCAGAAAAGGCCAGACTAAGGAAATAGTAAGAAAACCAAAAAAGTCAGTGGTTCCCCCGGGGCTAGCGGGGAGCGAGGGATGAAGAGACAGATTACAGAGGACTTCCAGGGCAGTGAAACTACTCTGTATGACACTGTAATGGTGGAAACAGGCCATTATATTTGTCCAGACCCACAGAACGTACACCACCAAGAGTGAACCCTAATGTCAGCTACAGATCTGGGCTGATAATGATGTGTCATTGTCGGTACATCAGTTCTATCAAATGTACTGCTCCCGTACAGGGTGGTGGTGAGGAGGGAGGGTGTGTGGTGTGTGGAGGCAGAGCGTGTGCGGATGGGAACTCTCTGTACTTTCCACTTGACTTTGCTGGGAACCCAAAAGTGCTCTTAAAAAATAATACCAACAAAGTACATTTAGAAACGAAAAAAAAAAAAAAAAAGCAAAAGATCTGAATAGATACGTCTCCAAAGGAGATATACAAACAGCTCATAAACGCATGAAAAGACGCTCAGCGTCTGTAGCCATCAGGGAAACGAAAACCATAATGTGACACCACTCCATATCCATCAGGACAGCTATAATCAAAAAGGTAGATAAGACAAATGTTGATAAGGATGTGGAGAAACTAGGACCCTCGGACAACGCTGGTGGGAATTTAAAATGGCACCTCTGCAAACCGTAAGAGACTCTTGGATACAGAGAACAAACTGAGGGAGGATGGGGGGGCGGGGGAGAGGGGAAGGGGGTGATGGGCATGGAGGAGGGCATTT